TCCTGGTCCTGGTCCTGGTCCTGGTCCTGGTCCTGGTCCTGGTCCTGGTCCTGGTCCTGGTCCTGGTCCTGGTCCTGGTCCTGGTCCTGGTCCTGGTCCTGGTCCTGAAACCCAACAGTTTTGTCATCCTGACACCAGTCCTCTGTGTTTTTGTGCAGTGGTGGCTCAGTGGTTAAGGAACTTAAGGAGTTAAGGACTTGGATCCAGAAGGTTCCAGGTTCAAGTCCACCAGCTGCCACTGAAGTCCTCTGAGTAAGGCACCGTCCCACCACACTGCCCCCTGCTGACTGTGGTGGTGGGTTAAAAACAGAGGTCAGATTTAGGTGTGTGCGGTGGTGCGGTGGTGCAGTGGTGTTGAGGACCAGTGTTGACGTCCTTCGTTCTGTTCCCAGAGGAGTCCTGGAGTCTGGAGGACACTCTGGCCAAACTCACCGCTCGCTTCCACAAGAAGGTCCTGCTGGACATGTTCGTTTGGACGGACGACCAGGACTCTCAGAGGCACATCATTTATGTGAGACTACTGTGGCAACAGCGCCACCTAGAGCACATCAGTTCCCCATCACTGGTGGTGGATGGATGAGAACTCATTTGTAGAAGTATCTTTGTCCCTCTCTGTGTCTCAGATCGACCAGCCAGGACTGGGGATGCCATCAAGAGATTATTATTTCAACGATGGAAACTTCAAAAAGGTGACCATATTTCTTCATCAACATTGGATCAAGTTCGGCTCTAAAAGTTAGACCCATCAACCCTGTCTCGTGACCACAGGTGCGTGAGGCCTATCTCCACTTCATGGTGTCCATCGCCAAGATGACCAGAGAGGACCGCAACCTGACTCTGGACGACGAGCGCGTCTGGGAGGAAATGACACGAGTGCTGGAGCTGGAGACAGACATCGCCAATGTGAGACAGACTGACAGACAGACAGACTGATAAACAGACTGACAGACAGACTGACTCACAGACTGACAGACTGATGAACAGACAGACAGACTGACTGACAGACTGACAGACTGATGAACAGACTGACAGACAGACTGACTGACAGACTGACAGACAGACTGACTCACAGACTGACAGACTGATGAACAGACAGACAGACAGACTGACAGACTGACTGACTGACAGACTGATGAACAGACTGACAGACAGACAGACTGATGAACAGACAGACAGACTGACAGACAGACGGATGGACAGACAGACAGACAGACAGACTGACAGACTGACTGACTGACAGACAGACTGACAGACAGACCGACAGACAGACAGACAGACAGACAGCCAGACAGACAGACAGACTGACAGACACGTCTGTTCATATATAAACACATCAACATTTGTATTTCCTGTTCAGGCCACGACTCCTGTGGAGGAGCGACAGGACGTCACTGTTCTCTACAACAAGATGACGGTGGCTGAACTTCAGAGTTCCTTCAGCTTCAACGTGAGTGGGATCTGATCAAATCCACTCCATTCATTTTTCTGGTCAACAATGAAAATGTTTCCAAAAATCTGAAAATATTCTGCGAGTCCTCGCCATGTAACACGCTGGTGATGTCATAACCCAGGTCATAAACACCTGATTTGTCTCCTTTCTGCTTTTCCAGGGATTTAACTGGACCAGATTCATTCAGGGCGTTTTGTCCAGCGTTTCCATTGAGGTCCAGCAGGACGAGGAGGTGGTGGTGTACAGCTCCCCCTACCTGGAGAAGATGAACGACGTTCTTTCCCGACACAGCGTCAGGTGAGGTCGTCCTCCGTCAGCTCCGTCCACAGAGGTTCTCTGGTCGTGTAACTGTTTTCCGTCCCGTGGACAGAACCGTCCAGAACTACCTCACCTGGCAGCTCGTCATCGACAGAGTCAACAGTTTGAGTCGCCGCTTCAAAGAGGCCAGAGCTTGTTACAAGAAGGTACCACGCTCACCACGTCAACCACACCCACCAATGTAACCACCCACCCCTGACCATGTTTGTCTCCGCCCGTCTGGACAGACTCTCTACGGGACCACGGTGGAGGACGCCTGGTGGCGAGAATGTGTCCGATACGTACAAAACAGCATGGAGAACGCAGTGGGGGCGCTGTACGTGCGTGAGACCTTCGCCGGAGAAAGTAAACGAATGGTCAGTGTTGGTGGGCGATGTCCAGATTGAACCAATCAGAAGAGAATCATCGTCATCAGAGCAGTGACATCAGCACCGACGGACGGACAGACCTGACACTGACGTACCCGTGTTTCTGTTCCACGCCCTCAGGTCAGTGACCTCATCAGGAAGATCCAGGAAGCGTACGTGGAGACTCTGGAGGAGCTGAGCTGGATGGACACTCCCTCCAAGGACAGAGCCAGAGAGAAGGTACTGATCCACTGTTAGCTCCACTGTTAGCTCCTCTGTTAGCTCCTCTGTTAGCTCCAGTGTGTGATGATGACGACCTCCGTCCACCTCCTGTAGGCCATGGCCATCAAGGAGCACATAGGTTACCCAGACCACATTCTACAGGAGAACAACCTGAAACTGGACCAGGAATATTCTCATGTGAGTAAAGAGTCAAAACAGCTGGAAGAGAAGACGAAGACGAAGACGAACGGTCAGTGAGCAGCGTCCGTTTTTGTCTTTGCAGCTGAACTTCAGTGAAGAACTCTACTTTGAGAACATCCTGGAGAACCTGAAGTCAGAAGCTCACAAAAGCCTCAAGAAGCTGAGAGAGCCGGTGGATCCAGATCTGTGAGTGGACTCCCAGGAGTCATGTGACCACAGGTTTCATCACTTAGTTAAAGTCTGTTGCCCCCCCCCTCCCCCCCCCTCAGGTGGATCATCGGTGCCACCGTGGTCAATGCCTTCTACTCCCCCAACAGGAACCAGATCGGTGAATGACTCATTAACTCATGAATGTGGTTCAGTCCACGCCTCGACCTAAATGTCCACGTTTGTCCACGTTTGTCCACGTTTGTCCACGTTTGTCCAGTGTTTCCTGCAGGAATTCTGCAGCCGCCGTTCTTCAGCAAACACCAGCACCAGGCCCTCAACTTTGGGGGGATCGGGATGGTCATCGGACACGAGATCACTCATGGATTTGACGACAACGGTGAGTGAGTCACAGTTCAGGGATGTTGATTGGTTTCAACTGATTGATTAGTGATTATTTATAATTAATTCATGAATTAATTATGACTCATCGATTTCGTTTTCCTACAGGTCGTAATTACGACAAAGACGGAAACATGCTGAACTGGTGGAGCAACTTCTCGGCGGAACATTTCAAAGAGCAGTCTCAGTGCATGGTGCAACAGTACGGCAACTTCAACTGGAAGCTAGCAGGAGGGCAAAATGTAAGCAGGTGGTTGTCGGTTCTACACTGATGTTTGACCCGGCCGTCTGAGCCCCTGCTGGTGTGTTGGTGTGTCTGCAGGTCAGTGGGATCAGCACACTGGGGGAGAACATCGCCGACAACGGAGGAGTTCGTCAGGCCTACAAGGTGGGCTGCTGTTGGACGGCAACCGTTGACGAGTCACTAAGAATCCTGGGAGTGTGTGTGTGTGTGTGTGTGTGTGTGTCTCAGCTGTTTGTCGTCTACAGGCGTATCTGAAGTGGATGGAGAAGGAGGGGGAGGAGCCTAGTCTCCCTGGTCTGGACCTGGACCACAGGCAGCTGTTCTTCCTAAACTTTGCTCAAGTAAGAAAAAAAAAAAAGTTTTTCAGTAACAACGACTTGATCAGACGGAGGAGGAGAACTTCCTGTCTTCCTGTACACCTCCACCTCCACCACCCCACCCTCTGACTCTTTCTGCCCCAGGTTTGGTGCGGTGCTTATCGGCCTGAGTATGCCAGCCAGTCCATTAAAACGGACTCACACAGCCCCCTGGAGTACAGGTGCAGAGCTGCAGTTTGACCTGCTGTGGTCGTCTGTAGTAATACTACAGTAATACTACAGTAATACTACAGTAATACTGTCTGTACTGTTTGGTTCTCGTTTCTCTGACGTTTCCGTCTCGTCCTCAGGGTCCTCGGCTCTCTGCAGAATTTCGAAGCCTTTTCAGAAGCTTTCCAGTGTCGGAAAGGAAGCCCGATGAACCCGGAGCTGAAATGTCGCGTCTGGTAGAAAGATTTAAATGTGTCTCTGAATCCTTACACTGGTTTAGTTTAAAGGTGAGGTCCACGTTTATTAGAACGGCTTGGAAAATGTTTTTAAAAATATCAGTTGAGTTTCCTCCAGAAACCACCGTGTTCCTTCTGTTTCCCATGTTGTTTGATAAAAAAGGAAGGAAAATAAAAATGACTTGATTTGATTGATGAACAAAGATTTCTCAAAGCCAAATTCAGAGAAATCTCGTGTTCAGATCTTCAGCTGAGGGAGTTTAGATCCAAGTGAAATGAAGCCACCATGGAATCAGTCGAAGCAAGAGATTTGATTGGCTGAGTTTCAAGGAAACAGAATTACCTTCAGACTTTGAGACTGTTCAATCTGTGCAGCTGTAAATGTATTGTTATTATTACACACATATATATATATATTATAGTACCTTAATTACATATATATATACATCAGCGTTCATCTTCACTGCCGTTCTCAGACGACTGTGAACTCTCAGCTGCTTCATTTTTTCATCAGGAAAATTTCTCATAAAAAGAATTCCTGTTGAAAACTTTCATCGTGGAGAAAAGTCGTTTCTTTCAGTTCAGTTTCCAGAGAGGAGACTTGAACACAGTGATTAGCAGATAATTAACCTCGGGGGCAAAGACAATTACATGCTAAGGGGAG